GACACATGTTACAACATAGATGAACCTTGAAGAGATTATTCTAACTGAAAGAAGTCAACGACAGAAGACCACCTAGTGTATAATTTCATTCATATGAAAGTCCAGAATGGGGAAAGTAGATTAGTAGTTGCCCAGGGGTAGGGAGTTAGAAGGAATTAGGAGGTGATACCTAAGATAGTTTCTCTTGGGGTGATGAAAATATTCTAAAATTGATTGTCATGATGGTTGTACAACTCTGTGACTACATATATTAAAAGCCACTGAATCATACATTTTAAAATTGTTGAACTGTATGCTATGTTAATTATATCTCAATAAAGTTGCTAAAAAGAAACAAAACAGATTTCTAGGCCCAATCTGACTCAACCTGAGCATTTTATTTTTAACCAGCCAGATGATTCCAATTATAGGTAGATTTATATAAAGCACTAAAAACAACTATGTCTCATTATGATGTATACACCCAGGCCACACCTCCTACCAGAGTTCATGAGTGGTGATATATGCAGACTACGAGTGTCACCCATTATTCTCAAACAATTACATTGGGTTGGACTTTGGAACCCAGAGAAGCGGCAGATTCTCTAGATGCATTTTCTCTTATCTGTTGCTGGAATTCAAAGACTTGGCCAAGGATGAAGATCATGCTGCTATGTGCAGTCTACAGGGAGAAAAGTGAGAATTTCTGACTTCCACATGATTTATTTTTAAAGACCATCAGAAAGGACTCCATCTAACCTACCACAGAAGTACATTCCATAAATTGAGACTCCTGTCTGAAAGAGTCTTGCGTGAGGGCAGCCACAAAGCAGCTGCCAACCTCAGCAGGCTCTGTACAGAAGAAGCTGGATAGGCAAACACACTCACTGTTCACCCACATTCATAAAAATCACCAAGTGTTAGGACCAGGTGTGACTTATAGAAGACGGAGCTCCAGCTTCCCATTTAGAGGTGAGAAAACCAAGATCCCAGCTGGTTAACGATTTGGAATTAGAATCCAGCATACCAGATTCCTAGTCAGTGTTTTTCTGCCATACCATAAATGATCCACCCTCCCTAAAATCTCCCTCAGAACAGAACTGGGATGGGATTAGGTCTGCGGAGGGATTTCTGCATAATAAAAAATACATGAGTTCAGAACTTAGTTGGGTGATCTTGAGCAAATTAATTTCCCTTTGCCTCAGTTTCCTTATCTGAAAAATATTAATAATACCTACATCACAACACTGTTATGAAATAGAAAGAGAAGGTGTTAAATATGTTGCTTGATCCATAATGGACCCTCATTAATGGTAGCAATTGTAATTATTACTTCAGAGAAGTTCAAGGACAGGAAGTCAGAAAGTTCACTGTATAAATTAAGCGCTACAGTCCTTCCTCCATTCCATCACTCTGGGGTGCTGAGCTAGGTCCCCAACATGAAAATGGTGATCTACGTGCCATGAGCATCCCAGTAACCCAGGCAGATGGATTCTTGCATTTCTTGGAAAAGGGAAGCACAGAGGAATCTTTCCTACTCGACAAGATCATTGAGAACTGGCCCTGGGTGCCAAGGCGTCCAAGAGAAATGTTTAGAAGGTAAAAAAGAGCCAGCACCAAATGCAACATCATGTGGTTTCTGAAAATGTCCCATCCACTAGATCCCACACCCATTAAACAGAGGCTAGATTTGTGTGCTCAGACGCAGCCAGTAAGGTCTGGCCAAAGTTAGGGAGGTTCACGATTCCTCTAAGGCCTAGATTGAGGGAAACAGACTCAGTATGAGTTTCTCCTATGGAAAAAAGAGAAAAGCTAGGTGTTAGTGGTTAGTCACCTATTCTGGAAGGTGTTAATAGAACCATGCTAGCAAAAGTAAACACTAAAGTCTATTCACTCAACCCAGTTCTAGGATCTTGATTCAGGTCAAGGTGGGAAGAAGAAATGTATTATTAAGAGCAATGACTCTTTAATGTCTGACCCTTGAAGACACAAGCATTTAAAGAAGTGATAGTCACTGGGAGGGGAAGAGGGTATTGGAAAGAAAAAAAAAAAAAGCATTAAGTACTTAACATGAAAATAGTTACCTGAAGCAAGGGGGGCAAATAAAGCATTCCCAAAAGTAGACATCTATCTAGTCTACTTCATACTCCACATGCTAATAAGTCCAGTTCTAGAATTGCACCGAACCTCTCAATTGGAAGAAAACTTAAAACTTTACCTAGTCCAACCTTCTACGCAACACAATAATCTAATCTACAACATCCCCAGTGATAATTAGCTTTGGTGACGGGAATCCCCACCCCACAAACCACCACCACTATGCTCTATGTTGCAATGTGAGAGAATGCTAATTCTTTGAAAGTTCTTATGCTCACCCAAAAACCACTTCCGTTATGTCACTTCCATCCACTGGTCCTGGTTGTAGTCTCTGGACTACTGCAAAAGAAATGGAATCTGCCTCCTTACACTGCCTTTAAAATAGACAAGGACAGCCCAGCCAGTGTGGCTCAGTGGACTGAGCATCAGCCCATGGACTGAGGTCCCCATTGGATTCCTGGTCAGACACAGGCTTGGGTTTCGGCTCGATCCCCAGTAGGGGTCGTGCAGAAGGCAGCCGATCAACGTTTCTCTCTCACATCCATGTTTCTATCTCTCTCTCCCTTCCTCTCTCTATCAAAAATCAATAAAAACATATTGTTTGCCCTGGCCGGTTTGGCTCAGCGGTTAGAGCGACAGTCTGCGGTCCAGAGAGACCTGGGTTTGGTTCCCGCTAAGGGCATGTACCTCGGTTGCAGTTTGTCCCCGGCCCTGGTTGGGTCGTGCGGGTGGCGGCCACTCGATGTGTCCCTTTCACATCCATGTTTCTCTCTCTTGCTCTCTCTCTTCCTCCCACTCTATCTGAACAAAAAGTGGAAAAATGTCCTCGGATGAGAATTAAAAAAGAAAACATATTGTTTTAAAAATAGACAAGGACAGTTCTGAGCACTTCAAGTTGCCACAAGGATGGGGCCGAATGAACAGTCAGTCAAGGGAAAATAAGAACCCAAGAGCAGGCAATTATAAACAGCACAATCAGAAAACAAAGGGAGATAAACTTAATACCATCATCAGAGCAGCCTCTGTTGCATATAGCCTTTAGCCCATACAATCAGTCTCCAGCACAGAGCAAATGACCAAGCCATTGGTGTCCCCTTACTTTCTGCCTTCAAGAACATCTTTAAAGAAAATGTGTTCTAGCCCTAGCCAGATGGCTCTGGAGCAATGTCCGGTACACCAATAGGTTTTGGGTTCCATTTCCATCAGGGCACATACCTAGGTTGAGGAAGCAACAGATTGATGTTTCTGTCTCACATCTATGTTTCTCTCTCTCTTCCCCTCACCACCCCCACTCTATCTGAACAAAAAAGGAAAAATGTCCTCGGGTAAGGATAAAAAAATAACAAAATAGCCCTGGCGGGTTTGTCTCAGTGGTTAGAGTGTCGGCCTGCAGTCCAGAGAGACCCAGGTTCAGTTCCCGGTAGGGGTGCATTCCTTGGTTGCAGTTTGTCCCCGGCTCTGGTTGGGTCGTGCAGGTGGCAGCCACTCGATGTGTCCCTTTCATGTCGATGTTTCTCTCTCTCTCTCTTCTTCTCTCTCCCTCCTGCTCTATCTGAACAAAAAATGAAAAAGTGTCCTCCGGTGAGGATAAAAAATAAATAACAAAATGATAAAGGAAAAGAAACAGTCAAAAACATTTTCTGCTGTCATCATTGAGTGTGGCCATAGTCCGGAGACAGGAAGAAAGAGGGGAAGGGTTTCATGGCTACCTGGAAAGAAAGAAGTTAACTAGGGACACTGCTCCCCGGACAACTGGATTAAGCCCTGTCACAAGGAAGATATTCATGCACACTGGGGAGAAAACCTCTCTGGTTAGAAAACAGACCTAGATATGCAGGGAATGTCAGAGCAGAAGACGTCCTTAGGGATTCAACCCCATCACTGCACAGACTGGGAAACCTAAACCCACGCGAGGCCGGGAAGTCACCCAAGGCTGCAACGCAAGTGTCAGAGCTAGAACAAAACCCCCTGGTTCCCCAATCTCCGTTCTTTCCAGGATACCACGCCGCGATCCTATTTCAGCAAGCCTCAAACAGCTGCAAAACATCCACTCAGATAACCACTACTCCCCAAATCCCACGCGCTACAGGAAAAAAGAAAGCGGTGATCTTTCTGCGCTTGGGGTTCACGCCAGGGCTCCCCACAGCCTCAGCGGGGACCTTACCCGCCCTTCGATTATTTCATATTTTGGTATGACTTACAGAGAACTGCAGGACGGCCAGAAACAAAACCTAGGGAATGATGAGGCTGCAGAAAAGAAGGAGAACACAGGCAGAGGACACACCCAGGGCCGCCCAGGGGGCGGTGGAGAACGCGGAGCTGGGGGGAAAGGGGAGCGCGCGTCGCCGCTCGGGTGTCCTGCAGGCGGCTGTGCAGGCGGCTGTGCGGTGGGGAGCAAACAGCTGCTGCAGCGCTGCGACGCCCTCACCCGCGACCTTCGGCCAGCCCCGACCCCTTCGCGGCCTCGACTTCCCCGACTCCGGGGTGCGGGTGCACGGGCGGCTTCCAGGGTCCCCGCGGTGCAGGCGCTCCACGACCCAGAGCCCCACGACTAGCGAGCGGCCGCGGCCCGCGCAGAGGCCTGGGACTCGCCAGAGACGGCCGGACTCCTCCGGGAAGCGCGTTAGCCGCCCGGGCTGGCCGTCCCCGCGAGGTTTCCCATCTCGGAGCCTCAGTTTCTCCACCTGTCAAACAGGACGGAGGGCAAGGGAGCCGGGTGAGGGACAAAGGACTCTCCGGGAGGTGTGCCGGCTGCACACCACGGCTGAGGCCGGGGAGCCCGGGGAGCCCGGGAGAGTCGGACCGCATCCCAGGCTGGTGGGTGCGGGACCCCGAGCATCCGCTGCGCCCCTAAGGAAGGGGACGTGGCCCCGAGGAAGGCGCTGGCTGGCTTCCAGGCACAGGCTGTCAGCGCGCGGACTCACCGCTCGGTTCCGGCTCCGCTCCGGCTGGGGTTCCCGCTTCAGTGAAGTGCACCCCACCCCGCCTCAGCGCGGAGGTCCAGCCATCCCCCTGGGCTGCCCGGCAGCCGCTTCCGGGCCTCCTCACGTGACACGGGCGCCCCAGCCCCAGGCCCCGGTCACAAGCTCCCGCGCCGCAGCTCCACCCCTCTCGCGGTGCTCCAGAACGCGGCTGCGCAGCACCCCCTGGCGGCCAGCGGCTGCCACTGCAGGAAAGACGGTGTGGGGGCTGGAGGACTGGGAGCGGGAACTGGGCCGGGTGCTGGCCTCGGAGCATGCGCAGTGAATCCCGAGTCAAAGTGTGCTGTACCCTGAGGGTGGGTTTATATCTTTGCTATGTTTTCGTTTACCCGTCCCAAAGAGCACACATTGGTTTTATAATCAAGAAATAATGCATCTTTTTAAAAATCATCTGATCATATTTTTGGAAGTTGACACAAACTCATTTGTAGTTGCTACTGCAAATGGGACTGTGAGGTAAGGCAACATTATCTTTTTACTATATTAAAATCTTTTAAGCAACATTTTTAAATGAATGGCAACATGTCAGCCTGTTTGAGGTGTGTGTATTATCTGTGCTTCTCTTGCCTCCTTTCCACAGATCTTACTTTTAAAAATGATGAAACTACTGAACCAAACACATACATACAAACTATTGGAACAGTTACAAAATAGATAAATCTCAAAATAATGATGTTGAGTGAAAGAATTGAGAAAAATATTCCATTTATATAATGTTCCAGAAAATTTTAAATAATCTGTGGTGACAAATTCACATCAGTGGTGGCCAGGGAATGGGTGGAAGGTCAGGAGGGGAGAGTGATTTTAAAGGGGCATAACTTTCAAGGAGAGAAATATGTTCATTGTTTTGAGTGTAGTGATGGTTTCATAGGTGAATATATATGTTGAAATTTATCCAATTTATACACTTTAAACATGTGCAGTTTATTTCATATAAATTATATCCAATAAGCTGTTAAAATATTTAGTAAAATTATATAAGCAATACATTAATATATTCTTATTAGAAATGTTACACAATATATAAGTATATTAATAGTGAAAATTCCCCTTTTCCCAAATTTGCTCTCCTCTCCAAAGATAAAGTTACTATCAAGTGAGTATTGTTCATCAAACCTTTCACTATGTATTTATGCAGAAACATATATATGCAGAAATAGGTAGATTTGTGGTGTCAAAATTTAGACTATAACAGTACTTATTGTTTTGCTTAAGACTTGTACTCTTCACTGTCCATACTGTTTTACTTCTTACATAAACACATATACTTTACATATGTTTAAAACCTAGTAAACTTTTTTAAAAATCTACTCCAATTGGTTCATTTCATCAGGGAAAGAGAAAAGAACGAAGATTCATGCTCAAGTCAAAATATGAAGGCCAGTGTTTATCCCATCCTTGGAGAACCCACTTGTTTATTGACAGCTCAGTACCAGGAACTACTCTTGGAATACTGCTGAGCTGAGTCAATGAATGCACACTTTAGATCTTCCCAGGCCTTGAATATCATTGATTCTTAATGTCTTGCCCAAGAAAGCCAGATCTTGTGAGAACCATACAGTTGGAATTAGTGATGCGAGTGGGAATTTGCCTTCCTTAATCTCTTCCTGTGATGCACTGACTGTAAATTAGGATTCTTTCATATACCTGCCCTCCACACACTTATTAAGGGAGACCCTTGAAAAAAGGTTACACCTTATAAACCTTAATATTCTGCAGTCCTAATTAGAAATTAACAAGGAGGTCAGTGTGGCTGGAACAGAGTCAGCTATAGGAAAAGAAGTGGATTACGTCGGAGCAATGAATGGGTAAAATTTGTGTAGAGTTCTGTGAGCCATTTTAAGGAATTTTTGCCTTTTACTCTGAGTAAGACATGAAGATATCAGAGGCATTTGAGCAGAGGAGTGCCCTGAACTGACCTGGGTTTAAAAGGATACTTTCAGTAGGTAGTTTTTGTACATTTATTTCTCTGTTCTTGTAACTAATATAGTGGGCAGAATACATAAGAAATTCTGTGTACATGTATAGTTTCATGAAATAAACAGAAAATATAACATTAAATAAATACAAATTTTAAAGGGTGCCTTGACCTTTGGGTTGATGTAGGTCAGCTGTCAGGCAGTTGCAGGGTAAGATTATGAAGATTTACTCGAGAGTGATGGCGGTGAAGGTGACAAGAAGTGATTCGTTTCTGAAAATGTTTTTATGATAGGTTGGAAAGCTTTAGCCCTTGTCCTCCCTGAAATCTTGGTACAGCTCCTCCCCCCCCCCCCCCCCCCCCCCGACCCTTCCTTAACCTCTTACTCAGCGAACAGCTTCTTTGCTCTCAAGTCTTGGCACAAGACAGGACCAACTCATAAATCCTCCTGAAATAAGACAGGAGAATGCACCAGTGGACAAATATTCCCAGAATTGGGTCCAGGTACTTTCTGAGATCTGGAGCAAACCCACAAAGGCCATCTGTGGGGAAGGCAGACCTTGGGGTTACCTCACAATGCTAACAAAGAGCCTGGGAGAGCTTTGAAGAGAGAAGGACTTCCTGTTGCCACTGAGAAAACACTGATGTAGGTGCCCAGAGGTAAGCGCTGTGGCCAACTCTGCCACTTACTAGCAAGTCCTTTTTTTTTTTTTTTTTTTTTTTTGTGGTACCCGGGACTCTCTGCTCCCCAGGCCAACGCTCAACCGCTGAGCCAAACTGGCCAGGGCGCAAGTCCCTTTTAATGTGGGCTTCAGTTTCTCGCCAATGAAAGGACTAGGGGGAAGAAGCTCCTCTCTCCAGTCTTCTAGCACTGAGTCCTTCTTTCTCTGCGTCAGCTACATTCCTCCTTCCGAAGATGACTGGGTGGGCCCTAGGTCAGTCACAGAATCACTGTATCTCACTCTTTAGAGTTTCTTTGAGATGGTCTGCTGCAACCCATTCCTTTTGCATGTGGGAAACTGAGCCTCAGAGAGACAAAGGTATTTGTTCAAGGTCACACTTGTTAACAAGTGTGAGAACCTCTGGGTTCATCTATGAGGCCTCACCTAGACCTTAGGGTTCCATGATCACAATTTTCCATATGAAGGCACAGAGTGGTACCTATCTAATATGCAGATAAATTGTGTCTGCGTTTTCAAAAACTACAAGATGCCATTATGGAAAAAACATAATATCAAGATGAGTGATTATATTAGTTTTCTATTACAGTGTAATAAATTGCTGCAAACTTAGTGGCTTAAGATGACACCCATTTATTGTCTCCCAGTTCCTATGGTCAGGAGTTCAGGCATGGCTTAACTGGGTCCTCTGCTTAGAGTTGGCCAACTAGTGGATGTGAGATGGACCAATAGGAATTGATGAGCCACCCTGAGAATGGGAGGTTTGAATTAGAGGTCGAAGGTGCTGTCATTGAGGTAATGACAAGGTCTAGGGTACGATGGCGGGAGTGGGTGACTCAGGTAGGGTGGAGGACAAACTATTTGGAAGCAAAGGTGGTCAAGGATATAAGAGGCTGGAGTACAGATGACTCATTTACAGTAGCTGAAATCATCAACAATGATCATAGAGAAATGTAGAGGGAGAGGAGAGAGAGACAGAGTTCCAAAGGATCTAATGTTTTTAGAGAAAATGGAGGAAAGCATCTTTGCCCCTCCCTAGCCATGTGGTATGAGAGCTGTGAGGAAAAACAGCCCCCTTAGACATGTGCAAAGGAAGCAGCGACCTCAGGGGGGAGCCACATTTAGTTAGACAAGAAGGTTAACATGACCATGCAGGAGGCTTCCCTCTTCGTTGGAACAGCCTTTGCTGACCCCCTTTACAAGAGTAACTGCTTTTGTTATACGCGCACAAGCCTCTTTTCATTTTCCTTCAGAGCAATTATGGGAAACTCTGAATAATATTCACAATTTCCAGCTAAGCTTCTGCAGGGCAGGGGCTGCACTGCCTGCAACAAGTGGGTCCCCAGCACCCAGCAGAGTGCCCGGCAGACGGGTACTCATTCACTACTTGTGGCAAGAAAGAAGAAGGAAAAGAACAGACTGTTAGAGCAACTGTGAAAGTCTGTGTGGGTGGAGAAGCAGCCCATATTTCCATCCATTCATGCTTTGGGCCATTTATTCTTCTGAAGGAGCAGAGCCTGTGTCACTCCAGGTGATGTGGGTGGAATTGCATTTGAGCTCCTGAGCCACAAAGGCTCAAGCAGCTGAGAACTGTGCCCTGCAACTCCTCGTGCCCAAGTCATTTCTGCTCAAGTCCCTGCCAGAGCCATGTCTAAAGAGCAAGGTATCTTCCCGCCTAGAGCTAGGGGCCCCTCCACCAGCTGCCAGTCCCTGGATGGTGTACCCCAAGGAATGCCCCAGATGCCCTCCAGCAAGGGCCAGCAACTCCTCCAGCTGGGCTCCTGCTGCCTGAAGGAGGCTAGTGGAATCTTGTAAATGTCCTTTCCTCCCAACAAGAGATCCTGGGCCTGGCATCTTGTACCTGGAGATTGTTGTGGGAATTTTTTCCATTCTTCCTTCCAGTAACTCAAGGAGCTGAATCTGGGCTCTCCTCCATTTGGACAAACAGGCGAAGAGAGCTGTAGAGAAGTTGTGTTAGTGGCAAAGATAATGCTCCCTGAAGATAATGCTTTGACTCTGAAGTGTATCTTTAGGGGTCCATTCATTCAAGTATTGAATGCTTGAACATTGTGAGGCTATGGCAATGAAGGCGAGGCACTGTTATGTCCTTTCCTCCAAGGAGGAAGAGATGTACACATGTGGCTGAAATTGCAGAAGGAGCAGCACCAATGAAGTCAGGTGTTCTAGAGGGTTCAGAAGAGGAAGATTTTCTTTCTAGATGCTGACAACAGGGAAGTCTTGTGTCAGAGGTGTCATCTGAGCTAGTTCTTGGAGAAATGATGTTGCCAGCAAGAACATCCAGAAAGTATTTTTTGTCTCCTCTCAAGAAGGTCGATCAAGCCTTCGCCAGCACAATCAAAGAATCCCAGGTTTGACATTGACCTGGGTCAGTAGAACATTATGGAAATGAGCACTGGTTTTGGAATGAGTCGGACTTAAGCTCAAATCCCAGCTC